TCATCGTCGTTAATTTCTTCTTTGTTTCTACACACAAAAAAATACATAAAACTATACGCAAGTAATAATTACTTATTTTATATATTTCAAAAGTTCATGTATCCGCAAATCTATCGTAATAAGTTCATCAGAAGCATCACATTTATTCAAAATATATTCTGAATCCTAGTAAGTTTATAACACTTCAATCAAGATTAGTAAATTAAAACAAACTTGATTTGCTCATTATATAAAGTCACTTCTTCGATCAATTTCATAATATTCATCAAACAAAAATAAATTCTTGTTTTGAATACATAATAATAAGTTTTTCTAAAATTTGTAGTGAGTAGGTATATTTCAAGATTATTATAGAAAATATTCTTTGTTAAAGATAACTGTTATTGAAAAAGAAGAGAATTGAAAAGGAAGAAAAGTAAATTGAGTATTCACTTTTCTTAGCAATAGAATAATATTTTTCTGTAAGTAGAAGAGCACATTTCACTCTTAGAAGAGATCATTTAAGATGCGGTGGTCAGAAAAAAATTCTTTTCGAAATGATCACGTTCAATCGAATTCGAGTCACGAGAGCTCGAGTTTATCCGTGAATGTATGCTGCAGATTTTCTGAAAAATCTCGAAAGCCGAGTATTTCGAACACTTGTCCAAATGCGCGTGCCTCGCACGCTACATACCCAACATTGTGTCGATGAACTATTTTGATGATGGAAGAGCGAGCGCGAGATATGAGGTGCAGTCGCGTTCCCGGGTGTATAGAATTTTAATTTTCAATATCGGGGTCGACCGTTCTCGGTTTACATTGCACGCTCCACCGTGTCAGGGCTTCACCCCTGAACGCGTTCTCGGAGAAGACATTTATTTCGTCAACCTTCCCGAGTGTTAGCATATATTTACGAATATGTATAGTGTTTCGTAACGCGCGTCTCCTTCATGAAAGACTAATGCAGGATCTACGATAGAAGTCGGTAGAAAATTGACCAATCGCAGTTGATTATTCTTCTCATATTCGATTGTGATTGGTCAATTTTTTACAACTTAAGACTACGACTGCTACGATTTCTATTATAGACTTCGCATTATTGTTAAACGATTCAGAGAGAATGTATTAACATGTTGATCATCGGTTATGCGAGCTTGTATAGTTGGCGATTGTAAAGCTAGTACTTGCTATGCACGATTTGATTTTTTCGGGGAAGAAATGAAAATTTTATTGTGTTTGAAGAAAAATAAATATAAATAACCCGGAAATAGTTACATAAAGTGATTTTTATATCCCAGCGAGAAAATGGAGCTCAGTTTTTCACAGTAGTTTTTTTTACTGATCAAGAATCTATTTTTATATTTCTTCTGATCTTTTTTTTTTAAGAAACTATTGAGTAAATTTATATAGATAATGATCTCAAATATTAAATTATGGATTAATGATATATAATATAATTAATAATAATAATTTTTAATTAAATGTAAAAGATATTCAGCTGAGTGTTTACAAAAAACTTAAATAATTATAACATTCTCGATTTAAATAGCGTATTATATAGAATAATATACTAATATGAAAATAACATAAGGAGCAAAATTAACTAATTGTACAATGGCAAATAACGTGTCAACGTTGCCTGCCTGATGAATGAGTTTCGTATGTGTGTACATCAATTTTCATAATTATTACTGTGCACGTCAATTTTCATAATTATAAGTAACGGTAAAATATTTAATTTAAATTTAATTTAAAGAGATTAAATAAGTCCATATTCTCACGAAAGACCCAACACACTAAATAATACAATTTTTATTTTACATTACTATTTAATACACATACTACGTTCTTTAAAATTTTATATTAAATATTGGTTTTTGCAAACATCGTAAAAAATTTCAATAGTATCGGTCACCAGTGACCACTAAATGGGCAATCGCTGGTCATGAACCGCCGTGATAATCAATGTGTTAAATAATTATCGTGAATTGTCAATTTATGTGATGAAATATAGTGAAGTTGAGTGTCGATTGCCTGTTTGAATCAGTGAAATTCTTAATAAAGCTGCTACCGTGAACTCGAGAGCAAAAATTTCTTTTTTTTGTTTAACGTTTGGCGATTCTTTTACGGACGATTTGATTCAGCCAGCAACCATAGACGAATTAAATAGATACAGTATCGTAAAATGTCGTAAATATATCTATATATATATTTTATGTATAGTCGGAATTACGTTTTACGTTTCGTTGTCTCAATTTTTGCCTCCTAAGTCAATATTCATAGTCAATTCTTATATTTAAGACCATCTTAATTACCGTCTTAGGATATCATAAATCAATCGTGTAGAGCCATATTAGAAAAAAAATTGTTCATTTGACTAGATTAATTTAGTTCGTCTTTATTTTTTTTTATAAAAATGTATTTAAATACATTAAATATATATATTTAAATACATATCTACATTCTCCAATAAAAGAAATAAAGACAATTAAATTAATTTAATCAAATATAAACAATTTTTTCTCAGTGTATCTTAAGACGGTTTTAAAATCAGAACCGACTGTGTAAAGAAGCTTTGTTTACACTTCGGTCATTCTTCCTTTACATTCGCCCGACGTTTCTACCAATATACCATATCTACTTTAATCTTAATTTTTAATTTACTTTTTATCTTTTTCTAATTCTAAGAATTGGAAAAAGATAAACAGTAAGTTAAACTAACATAAATCTCTTACTGAGATTAAAGTCAATATATATTCATATATAGAAATGAACATTAGATCTTCCATCAATGTAAAATTAACTTTAATCTTACATAAACTAATTTAGTCTTAATTTCTTACTTTACCTTTTTCTAATTTTTAAGAATTCAAAAAAGATAAACAGTAAATTAGACCGAAATTAAAGTTATAATCTTATATTAAAGTTATAATCTTAATTGGTGGAACCGAGACTTACGTTCCGATTTTTATTTTCACTAGGAATGATCTTGGGAGCAAAAATGCTCCTCTATACCACAATTTTATAATTTTTAACGACAGCTTGGTCGTTGCGTAGCATTTTCATCATATACAGAGTGTTTGAAAAGTAATGACAAATCTTTCACATAGGGGTAGAATGAACTAAACTGAGAAGAAAAGTCCTCTACCATTTTACAATTTTCGACAATTTTTAGTAATTAATCTTGTTAACTATTGTGAAAATTGTAAAATGATAGAGGACTTTTCTTCTCAGTTTAATCCATTCTGCCCCTATGCGAAAGATTTTTCATTATTTTTCAAACACCCTGTATAATACCTGTGGAACAACAGTACAATGATATCGATATATCGTTAAAAGTTACAGAATGGGGCCTTATGCCCGTATTCATAGTTTGACCTTGTACTTGAGGCTTCCTTAAATTTATCTTTAGATACTCAGTAGCCAATGAAATAATTCGTAGAGTAGCTGAAGATAAATTTAAGGAAGCCTTAAATATAAGGCCTGACTATGAATACGGGCATTATTCTTGAAAAATATTGCATATAAAATGTACGAAAATATAGTATATGTGTCATAGATATAATGTTCCTAGTTTTTTATGCATGCGATACTTTTCAAGAATCAGACCTCTAAGCTTTCCGCGTAATTTCGCGCGGCCAGCTTGAGAAGACGCGAAGAGATCGAAGAGGTTGCGTGATCGAACGATCGGTCGACCCAACGGTGGCGCGTCGCCCGTGACATAATTTACTTTACGCCAACGATGGGGACCAAAAGACAATTCATTTTACTGCCTCCTCGCGCAATTTCGCTACGTCATACCGCGAAGGGGAATTTACCACGATCAATAGACACTTCTGTACACGCCGGAAAATTAAGCCGGCCGCAAAGTTTTGCATTATGGAAAGTTCTCTTATCGGTCGAACAGTCGACGAGGCCCTTTTGTGGAAACCTACCACTCGCTGAGGAAAAGGGGAATGGGCGACGGGACGTTATTACGCTCTCTTGCCTTCTTCCTCTGGGTTGCCTAGATAAATATACCGATGTATATTATTGGGGGTGGCGGAGCGTCTCGAAGAGATTGAAGGTGAGAATTTACATCCTCCTCGCTATCTACGGTGCACTCGAGAGATTCACCCGGCAGTTTTTCAGCCTAAGAAATTTAACAGAGGCAAGCACATCGGTATATCTTCTCGATTTTCTGGCGCTCTCGGATGCGCTTCGAGAGGAAGAAAAAAATGAGAAATTTAGTCGCGTCGCAGTTTTTCAACTATACAAAGATAAAAGCATTTATGTCAAGAATAAAAAAATACATGTTACGTATCTTCCACGGACGAAATGAAAATAAAAGCGATATCACAGAGCAAATTGAATTTCTTAAAAACTTAAATTATCATTTAATTGGTAAATGTCAATAGCAGTTTGATTAATCTAATCATAAAATTATTTAACTTAATTTGAAAATTAAGAATCAAAATTAACTACAATTAATTTCCACGAAAAAAATTTATGATTTCAAATTTTTTTCGTTAATTATAACTCCGTTATGATACAACTTAAAAATGATAGGGCATCATTGTATCTCAGTATAAAAATACAATATACTTAAAACAGTTTTCAATCATTTTTTATGTATTTATATTTTTAATTAATATCGGCATATATATTTATGCGTAAATATACAGCATTTTACGCCATTTTTCTTCAAAGAACAATTATTTAATCTTAATTTATTTACATAAAAATAAGACTAACAATACATATTAAAAATATATGTTCAACCTAATGAACAAATTTAAAATACTAATTAAAAATATCCTTGATTATGATTGTAGAATGCATATTCTATACAAGAATACGCATTCTATAATCATAATCAAAGAAATATCTACTCATTTTTATTAAGCATTTATTTAATTATGTATTTACTATGCGCTCTTAAAATTCTCAAAAAAAAAGTACCTTATCTATGTGATTATACAACTTAATTACACAACTAATAAATCATAAAATTGGAAGTACATAGAGAGAATACTTTTACTATTATATGGTAGTCTGCATGAAAAGACAGTTTTTCAATCAACATTTTCTCTGTAATAAAACATGTAGATATTTTCAATATACTTGTTTTCAATAGAATGTTTTCAATAGAACTGTATAGATCAGATTTTTCATATATTGTGAGGCATATGTCATTTTCGCATCTAAATCGCGCAATACAGGTTCGCTTTTATTTTCGGGTTGCCATATTACCTGGTTGCAAAAGTACATATATATATCTACTTTACGGACAGTATTACAATTTATCGCAGCTAGAATGCATTGTTATGGGCGGAAATGGGAGTAAAAGTGCTTAAAAATTTTCATAATTCCAGAAAAATACGCCTTGATAGATACATCATGACAGTTCACACAGCTATCACAGAACATCTGTACTAATGGATGCTTTCCAGCAAAAAACACAGATGACACAGTGTAACACAGTGAATCGTTGTATCTTCGATGTTTGTCAATGTTAAATAAAGATGAAACTATCACTGTGTTACATTGTTTCTCTTGCTGGAAAGCACCAAATATTTAACTAAATGTGGTTCGACAGGTACGAGTTTCATCTTATTAGGCTCTCTAAACACTCTCTAAAAGGAAAGGAAACATATATATGGCACGTATACTTTCAGCACAGACGATTAATCGTCGAAATCATACATTTGGTGAGATTTCCAACCGAGTGTTTGAATACACCTAAAATAAGATGACATTTTATAAATAATTAAGAGACAGCAAAATGCTGAAAATGACAAATCAGAGCGGTCATACAATTTTTGTCTTTGTATAATAAAATTATATAAATTATATTTGCCACTTATTAAATTATAAAAAAATATAAAATATGTTTAATAAGTAAAAAATGCTACGTACTTTTTCACGGATAACATAAATCCTTTTGGTCCACACGTAAATATGCATCCTTCTGGTGAACACTCGCCAATCAATTCTTTCAGTAATTTATCGGATACTGTACCGCGTCTACCTTCCCATTTATCTCCTGCTTGTGAAAGGACATGTGTAACTTTGAACCTAATGAATACGAGACATTAATTTTCAGTTCGATAAAATCTCTTTTTATTTTTAGAGTAGCTGACGTACGATATCTCATATTATTGATTTATGATGGATATAATTTTTTACACATGGTATATTGTTGTATATCATGTATATTATACATTATATATAACAATAGCACGAAGACACTACCACGTTTTCTGCTACCGTCCTTTAACATTTTAGTCTTTCCTTTATGCATATATAAATTTGTATAATGATTCAATTAAATTTTAGTTTTAATAAGGAGAAATTATGTTTGTATATAATCATTATACAAATTTATATATATGTTACGGGCAAAGTACGCAAGTGGACAGTATCGACATTGCCCGGGCAATACTGACATAGCTTGACAGACAACTCGAGTAATGTCAATATTGGTCACTTACAGACTTTACCTGTAACATATACATGAAAAAATGACTAAAACTAGAGGTCACAAGTAATTTCTATATATTTCCACATGCATGTACTTACTTCTTTTCTGCAGATACTCTGTCAAGTTGCTTCACATAAAACATATTGTCTTCATCCTTATTAAAATTTAGAAGATTGATTAATTTTCTGAAAAAGATTTTAAATCAATTAAAAATAAAAATAATTAATGTAATATATTAGTCTATATCTACTAATCTACGCTATTGTTAATATTATATTTTTTTACTATTTTTATTTCGTATTACTTTATTCTTTCAAAAATAAAATATTATGGTTTAAAGAAAGTCTCAAATGGAATATACTAATACTTACACACTGCGCCTCGCTAAAGCTCGCTGAATTATTCCTAACATCGCGGTTAAACCCGTTCCACCTGCCAGCATGTGAATAACAGGATACCGATCGAAAGATTCGGTTACAAAGGCACCTAAACCATTGCTCATTATAAGAGTTTGGCCAGGTTGTAATTTAGTAATGGACGGACTAAGTGTACCATTCGGATATCGCTTTATCATCAAGCAAATGCAATCAGGCTTGTAATTTGGCGCCATATCTTCAGGATGAAGGCACGGTGGGACAGGAGTATATGACCTTGATATTTCCATTCCTGCGACAATATAAAAATATATCAGCATATTTTTGACAATGTATGTATATTTTTATAAATATACAATACAAATGTGTTATATAGATATATATAGATTTAGATCCGTTTTATACGATTCTATTGAAAATATTCTATTGAAAATTTTTATACATATTCTATTACAAAAAAAATATTGGTTTGTGAAAACTGTTTTTTCATGCCGACTATATATAATAGTAAGCTAGTAAAGCTACTCCCTATAAATTAAAAAATCCCATTTATTGCTAAAATGTAATTTATTCTAACAATAAAAAGTTAAATATTTTATTGATAAAAATAAATATTTTTTGAAAGCAGATATCTATGCTTACCCATTATGTTCATTTTGACTTCTATGTGTTTCCCAACAGGAATTACTTCTAGAAAATCTTTCGCACGTAAAACTAAGAAATGAACTAGTTTGCAAAGAGGTGTATTACTGAGTACTTCGTACTCTCTGTACGTGCGTTTGTTTGTGATTGATTCTTGCGATAATGTATGATTTCCCTGAGATTTCCAAATATCTTTAAGCTTTTTTGTAAACGTAAAGTCTACCTGCAACATATATGTTTTTTGAGTTTACGAAATACGCGTTAGGAAGTACGTAAATATAAATAAACTGATTCAATAATTTACCTGCATTGTCTCGAAATCTCTTTTATATATTGGCGGCCATTCCACATCTGCGATTAATTCGATCTCATGGATGATAATGTGTTTTTCAAAAATTAACCTGAAGATGATTTTTGAGTCACTCAACCTTTGTAATCGGTAATATACACCTAGATAGTCGCGTACACCTTGATAAAAGACTGTAATAGAATTAGATGTTTGCCGCCAATCCATATTCACATTAGGCGAATTCGATGAGTTTTCATCAACTGCCTTTTGTACTGAAACAATAAAAGTTTGCTCTGACCATTGTTCTACATCTTATAAATGCATGATTAGATAAAATTCGACATTTGTCATTAATCACAGTTATTTATATCTTTTTAATTGTAAATCATTAATATAACAAATATGTAGTATATTTGTTGTTACATATTAATCATAGTATTTTTTTTTCAATAGGCAAACAGAAACATTTCTTGATACTTAAATAAATAAAATAGTTAAAAATATTTTATAAATACACTCGAAAATAGTCATATTTCAGAAAATAATAGAATTTAGACATTATTCATTGATTTATAGAAAAGCATCTTGTTCGTGTTACTTGCGAACAATACAAACTTAGATATAAACTTCTGTAATGAGCCAATACTGTCTATAATTTATTAATCCAGTAATATTTCTCTAAATATAGATGATCTAGAAACAATACGGTGCAACTGTTACAATAGATACTCACCAGTAGAACGTATATTTCGACCCAATGTCACGGGCAAACAATTGTTCGACTTTTCCGTTATTGAGGAAGTGCTCGATGCGGAGGAAATCCCACGACTTAATCTGCCTACGATGCATTTTTGCAAAATACTTTGATAATTCACCCAAGAGTGCACCTGGAATTAACGATCTACGGGTACATAAAAATAATTACCACTCAGCGAGACGATATAATAATATCAAACGTGAGATTGTAAACAACGTAAGGATCTTACGTTGTCGAATAATTTCGTGGCGTCTTTGCCGACACCTCTCATTAATTCATCAACTCCTCCTGGATGAAAATCCATATAACGTGTAACGTTGAATACCACTCCTGCAATTAAAATCAAATTTGTTAGAATTCAAGTTGAACAATATGAAATTTGTTAATATGAATCAGTAAATGGCAAAAAATGAATTACACCAGCAATCAAATTTCTAATGATTATTGAATACGTAATTCTAATTAGTATTCACTTCGAAATTTCCTCAATTAGTGTTTGCGGGTTTAATGTACTTTAAATCAATGTATTTTTGCTTAAAGTTAACGTATTTAAATGATTTTTTTCATTTTGAAGGTAAAAATTCAAGGAATAAGATTATATACTTTAAAATTATGTAAGGCTGTAAAAGACCTTTATTATAAATTTTTCACAACATAACTGAAAAATATCCGTGTCTATTGGATCCGAAATATCAATTAGAATCAAATAGATCTGATTAAACTATTTAATACACTGGATTATTTTACGTACAGTTGAAGTATTTTATAAAAATAACATTATATAACAAATGAGCGACATATTGCTAATGGTACATTAAATATTTCAAGTTGTTACCGATAGCAAAAAGTTTTCTTTTAATGGGCATAAAGTATAAAAATGAACAAACCTCGGATTGCAATCCAAGCATCGGTTTGCTTGTTATGATTAGCAAGCTCGGATAAGGTCACGACTTGTGGTACACCACCGACTCCAGTTAAATCGATTCCCGAATTACCCAAACGGATCCAATCCATCAAACTATGCCCCGGTGCCAAGGCCGTCTTATTCTGTGGGTTTCCTGTAAAAAAGGAAACAAAAATAGAAATTCATTATAAACATTTTATTACATTTTTTTCTATATTGCATAAAATACTTACAAATACATAAATGAAATAATACTCGTAGCCTTAAATTATTAGATTATTATATAAATCATTTGTCATATAATTCAATTTTATTATTTAATTTATAATTATTATAATTTTTCTCAATCAATTATAATGCATTTACTATTTCAATTATACTTCATAAATTCTTAATTAACATTTTTCAATCTGATGAATATTAACATTTTTTCATATTTTTAAGATGAAATTATTTGAAAGCATTTTTAACGTTTAAAACATTGTTCTCTCTATTACGTCGTTCAATCTACGCATTACAAATTAGTGGTTGAGAACATAAGGGTGCAATTTATCTACAATGTACATATACGAGCATGTATAGATGCATGTAAACGCGATGGAGAAAATAGAGATTAATTGACAATTACACTAATTACTAACCGTCCTGGATCTGCAGACCGAGGCTCTGCGGAGATCCATTACCATCCGCGGCGGAAACCAAAGAAGCGCCGCAGCATCGTGGCATTTTTTCATCGGAACAACAGGAATCGCGGAGACAATATCATTTTTGCAGTCGCTTCGTGCAAATTCGCGAAATCGATAAAAGTTCTCACAATATGCCAATTTGCATAGTTTATCTTGATAATAACATGGAATTCAATTTTTTCTTAACGTGTTTAACATGAAGAGATAAACAAGATGAAGGAGTAAATGAAGTATGCGACGTAAACGAGGACATCCGTTTTACAAATAAACGTATTATTAGTACTCAAATGTTAGAAATGTAATAATGTCACAGATGATATCAATAACATAATACGTATGATAATACGTACAATAATATATACGATGTATGATATGATATAGAGAAAATATATTCTAATGTATACATATTGAACAAATTTATATACCAACGGTTATTACCGTTAAAACTAATGAAAACCAATTAAGGTGCATGCAATTACAAACAACTAGCAAATTCATGAGACGGAAGTACCGTGCAAATATAACTTTTAACGGATCTCACAGGATCAACGTAGATATTGTTCGTCGTGGCTGAAAAATTTTAATCCGATATTCAATATGCTGATAATCCAACACTTGTTTGATGTACATTTATGTATACTTTTTATGTTAATTTAATTAATTCTCGTAGCAGCGTACTTAATTAAAAAAATTTTCTGCCTTTTTCTCTTTCCCATTTAATTAAACATATAAAAAGTTTTATTCCACATTCATCGATTTGTTTTAATTATATATCTTTAGATAAATTTAATTTTTCATTTTAGCTAAACTACAATTAAAGCATAATGTATAATATTAGCATTATACATTAAAAGAGATTTTATATGTTTTTAAAATAAATTTCATAGAATTTATTAGCAAATTTTAATTATGAGTTTAATTTAGCACAAGTCATATGTAACGTTTCAAAAAATATAAAAGTTGAAGAGATTCTTTATCAAACTCTTACAATTATTTCAAAAATTAGTCCAAACGTTTGTCAAAAAATTCATAAAAGAAATAATAATCTTTAGAAAATATCTTAGATGCAGAATAGAGAGATATTTATGCTAATATACATTCGATTGATTAGAATTTTAATAAAGATGCAAGTATAATTCTCCTTCATCTAGTTTAGTTAAATCTTCTTCATTTAAATAAGTTAAGTTCCGACTCAGGGTAGCTTGCTTGATTCAGGTCACCATCGATTCGTTGTACTAATAATAAAGATACAAGGAAAATGCTTAATTATTTAAGGTCCATGTGCAATGATGTAATGTGCGGCTAATAGTATACTCAAATCGTTCGCTTAATACCGATGTATCCGAAAAAGAAGGTTGTTTACAAGGTTATCTACATTATCGAGAAGCAATGTTCACTACGATGGTTTTAAAACTGGGACGGAAACGCGATTCAAATCGCGGATCTCATCGGTGACGAGAAACGAGAGACTAGATTCCGGTGATCTCGTGGTGAAGGACCGGAGAGTACTGCGCTGAAACACGCGGCCGAATATAACCCTGAGACAGGTAGATCAATATAGTAGCGATGGACGACGCTCAGCTCACCACGCAGGATCTCTCGCTAGTCGGAGCGCGCTTCTCCGTGTATCAAGATCTTCTCAATGACAGTTAGTAATACGAAAGGCTATTACTTAATCGGTTAAATAAAGTGTGTTATTCAATTAAAATAATAAGACTATCTCGGATGAAGTGATATAAATCGTGAATAAAAATGAACAAAAACGGAAATTTTATCAGTTTTATAGAATTATTTTTGCATGACGCAAAATTTTAGGTATTTTTACAATTTTATATACATTATAGATATTTTGATATTTTATATCTATGAAAAAATATCACGATTTGAAACATTTCCTACGTCACATTCTCTATTTTTTACGTGCTTTTTCGCACAATTTTCTTTGATTCACGAAATGTAACATAGTTTAACACACATGGTTATGACACTATTACTTCTATTTTGATTGAACGAAAGAAGAATCAAACGTTCCTACCAGTAGCAGATCCGGACGATGGCATTGTCTTGGTTTTTGCTTTCATTTGCTCGCTTTGAATGGGCTTAACGACACCAGTAGGTAACGTTAAAGTACTCCTGGCCAATAGACTCGTAGGTGAAGACGTTTTCACGTCCACTTTCTTTATTTTGTCCTGTATATCATCGATATCATAACTAGGACATTTTTCTTTCTCATTCTCATCTCTCGATTGGGTCGACTCTGAAGAATCGTTCTTCTTCATTGATTCCTTCAATTTCTTTTCAAATATAGAAAGTCCGAGAAAGCGTTGTGCTTCGTCATGTACGTCTCGATAAAGACTCCATGATTTACCTTGTTGAACTCTGTCACACACAATTAAAGCAAATCATTATTTTGACGAAATTTAATAGCTCATTGATGAAAATTTAATAACTCTTTAAAACGTTATCATAATAACTTACTTTAATGTACGAAATTATAATTGCAACTGTATAATTATTATATGGATTACGTTAAAATCAACAGCATTTATGTCGCGATTTAAAAATATTAAAATTTTTAATAAAGAAAATGAAAATGATTTAACTTAAGCTGCTTCTAAATGCTTAATTTTATAAATTAAATATGTAACAATGATACTGCAAAATTAAAATTTTGTATCTTGAAAATTAAGACAAGTAAAAATTGTATAGTAAATAATTCTTTACATTCGAAAATCATTTAGAGCACAAAATAATGCAAAATGTCAAGTGCAAATATCAAATACGGAAAATAATTCTATTAATCATATTTTTAAGTACTATAAAAAAATTCGAGATCAATTTTTTTTAAGAGAAAAAGTAATTAAACACAAAATTAGACAGATTGCATTATTTTTATATTATCCTCTTTTAAATGTTTTATTTCTTTTTATTATAAAGTTATTTTGACATGTGTATTATATCTTCTAAAATCGAAAATTTGTCAAGATTAGCACTGTAAAAATTAACTAGTGTTTCATGATGTTACACGCGAGAGTTCATCATCCATTTGCATTGCATGGCTCACAAATCTAGAAAGCGAGACGCATTAGGACACGTAGTCGTATTAGTGTACTCGCTTTCAATTACTTTCTCTATGTACTTTCACTTTTGATTGTTCCTCAACAAATATACATAACAGATTTAAACTTAACTCTATGTGCACAGAAACGCACAACGCTAAATTTAGCTAAAAAGTAGGAAAAAGAGAGAGATCAAAGAATCCTAGTATTTATAAATAAAATTATAAAAATGTCTAACCTTATTTTTATCTTTAAATTGTTAAAAAATAAACATAATGAATATCAATTAAAAACTATTCTTAGATCCAACATATTTTAACATTTTTTTATATTCAAAATACAGAAATAACCCACAAACCACGTAGCTTCTTTGAAAAAAATATCCGAGGAGAAGCCTTAAAAGTATTATTTTTTATATTAAAATTGTTTTATGTTAAAATTATCGTATTTAAAATAGAATGTGTTCTTCGTAGAAGTCTATTATAAGTTAAATATTTTGGACCTCAAAATATTTTTAAGACTCTAATATTTTTTTTTGCTCAGAAAGAGAAATAAATATTGAAACTAAAGCAAAATATATAAAAAAATGTGAGATTAACCGAACACTAGTATGTATTCAATGATTAAATCAGAAAACGTAGATTAAGGGTATTTTTAGGATTAACTTTTAACTGATAACATAATTGTGTACATGTATATATATATATATATATAACATTGTTAAAAAGTGTACATTCTCGTTTTAATCATGTCTTACTTTTACTCATGCTTATATATTATTTCAGCTATAAAAAGATAAAAAAATAAAAACTATTTTGACAATAAAATAAAGTAAAATAAAACTGCAAGAGGATAAAAAAATTTATAATACATTTTTCAATAATTTATTTCGCTCTGCATAACTGCTTGTAATTTGTAATAGAGATAAATAAGCGTGAAGAATTACAAAAAAAATTAAATTAAAAATAAATAAAAAAATATTCCATTATAGTGTGTAAAAAATAAATTAAAAAGAAATAAAAAATATTCAAATATTTTCCGCACAGTAAAAATACATCGAACGTTATGTATTTAAGAATTTATTCTCAGAACGTTTTAATATCAGTAAAAACGATAAGACTTTGATTCTATTCGTAACCTATCTTGAAAGTCTTGCAGCGGCATTCTTGCTGACACAGGAATAATAATAAAATTGCGCAAAGCATTAAACACTCTTTGTCGAGTAATTAAAAGGCAAGTAGTTGCGACGCGACATTCGGCATTCTGCTACATCAGTGAAAAGCGAGCTTTCCTGCAGGCACTTCCTGGACAATTTGAGTCTTATTGTCAAATGTAACATTAAACGAGGTACTCCTATGTCTTATTTACCTAAACATTTACATCATACATATTTAAAAAAGAAATAACTATATAATTTAAAATAAAGGTAAAACATTGTTAGATGCATTCGAAGGATATATAGTATTGATTTTATTTATCACTTGTTGTTATTTATGGACTTCTCAATATCAGTTTTATGAGACTTGTGCACCTTGTGCATGTACTCTGATAGATATTTATTATTTTTTTTTTTTTTCATGAGTAAACAGTCAAGCAAATGTTGTTTATACTGGAACAGATACCTCAGCTAATTGTAAGTTCCATCATAGGCTCTTTTGCACAAATATCCGTGAAACAAAGTAATTTGCATTTGAAATAAGTTTGTGTATGATAATATAAAAGATAAGCGCATACACAAAAATAGAAAAAATATCATTTTAATATTTAAAAAAGTGGCAAGTTTTCAATTTTTTAAGGAAAAAAATATTTTCTTTTTTTTTAAATATATGTATGACTAATAAACAGATAAATGCATTATAAAAATTTATGTTTCTTATATAAATAGTGCACAAAATTCTGATATTTTGTGTTATGAAACAAAAAGCAAAAAAAATATGTTTACATCTTTGAAATAAGAATATATCTGCAAGATATATATGTTAATCTTATCCTCCTGTCAATAAGAGTGATAAATAATTACTACTGATAAACAATTACTAATGATAAATTGGTAATAAATTGTTTCACTGTTTCAAAATTAATATTATGATTAAAAATTCAATTATAGTTGTACATTTTATATCTTTAGAGCTTTATTTTTCATATACATGTCACAAAATAATATGTATTTTTTTACTATATATATTATATTTAATACACTAAAATATAATATATATATTAATGATAATACAATGCAACCTCAACTCAACATAAATTCTAATTCTGAACAAATTCAATTTTTTTCGAAAGTGTTTCTTACTTCTAATTTCCATCGCTGAAATTATAAATTTCGAGTGTTATTTTTGAACGACTACAACATCGGAACTCACCAGAATTATATTTATATTTCAACCCTTGTTCGCGGCACACGTGAAACATGCGAACTCAATTCCGGATTGGGTTATTTGTGCAGCAGACCGACAATCTGTACACGCGACAATCGCCAAGAGAACTCGAGGACGGTAAACGTCTGACGTACAGAAGCACGCGTCAAATGTCACGATAATTGCCACTCGTACTAAAACACACGCGTGCTGGAAAGGTTAAATGGCCTCGAAAATTGCTTGTGCTCGAGTCCGTGATCGCGGCCACATTTCGAGGTTAGGTTTCTGGCAGTTTCTGGATGTGCTCCGTTTAGTTGCTCCGTCTCGCGGCAAACTTCAGGAGCGTTGCGACAAGGCCGTATATACTACACTATATAATTGAACCGATTGAATCCATAACGTATAGATGATGTTGATTTCAACCGGTTTCGTATTAGCTTTATAAATTTTTTAATTAAATTTATTCACTTGATACGAAGACAAAAAGCACTTACTTCTACGAAATGACTAAGTGCGTGTATATGCTGACTAATTGTCAGTAAAATAGCGCGTGTTACGCAGTGTTACGATAATGTTATTACTCATCTTTAAATATGAAGTTCTCCATTTATGGAACATAAACAGCTCTGCGGTATAATAGATATTCTTTTATGCTCAAGCTGAAACTATAAAAATAAAGCTAAATAAAATATGAAAAATAAATTAAATACGTTATATGAGAAAGAAATATATCATTTTTCTTATTTATTATATATATTTATTGAGACACTTGTATGTGTGTTAATAATATTAATTGTAATTATTATATTACTTTAAATATATAGTCTTTTGAAATTCGTTGGAAATAAATAGCTTTATAGAGCAATAGATATCTATTTTAAATTAAGCCAAATATAATATATGAACGATAAATTAAATGCGTATATAAAAAAGTACATAAATTTTCATATTTATTTATACATATTAATTTATTGAGACACATAAAAACGTAAAATATAAAATTTCTCATAAATCTATAGTCAACTTTTATTTATTGTTAGTTTGATGACTATAAAATACTGTTCATTGCGAGAGAAATTTCTAATTAAAACGTATCTCAAAAGTTAATTAATTTTCTATGTTTTCCAATATTAGAAGGTCCCATAAATCGCTTGGAACCTGTCATTAAAATTAATTGAAATCACGGATTCTCGAAGGGCATACATTTGAATATGAAATCGAAGATGTGGAGATTCCAAAACTGCTCCTGAACCTTATACGATTCACGAACATGAAGCCGTTCATCCCTCACTCATAGCCTTTAGTTTCGACTAGATTCGCGACACATCGGAGCGGCTCCGGCGGGAGCCGAACCTGACCCGTCATCCGATCGGTGTGAAGTGAGTCGCGCGCGCGGAGCCGGCGGAGCACAGTGAATAGCGGCGGTGGATCGTGTTCGTGTCGGCGTGTCGTTTCTGTGCAAAAAAGCGGAGTCAGCGACGGCACCCGACGCCAGTCATCCCTTGGTGTTCGGAAAAATCGGCGGCCGCGTCTTGAGTCGCAACGATACGGAAAGGAAGAAAGAGGCAGACGTCAGGCGAGGAAAAGAGTACAATCAGGATCCCGTGACATTGTCAATGAAACCCGGTTTAAATCGTTCGCCCATCCCGGTGAGTACTCTGCGTGATCCGTCCCGTGGAATTTACGGAAGAGGTAGGGCGGGAGAAGGAGCCGGATTGTTTTCCAGTCTTGAACTCAATGAAAAGCACAGACAATAGGAACAACAGATTTCGGCTTATCAGAAATTGTGTATACTAGAATGCACGGTTTCTGATAGGTTGAAATCTGTTATTCACCGTTCCTATTGTCTGTGCTTTTCACAAAGGCTTCTCTGCCGATGTGCAGGTTGTCTCGGCACGCCGGTAATCTCTATTTGCGTAAACGATTGGTGAGGCATTCCGCTTCCGTCGACTATTCGCGCGAGGGAGTGGCACAGATAAAAATCGACCGTGGTTTGCAGACGCGCGAGATAATAGCCCGAGATACGGTTGAAAAGCACAGATGATAGGAACAGGAAATAAGAAATTTCAACCTATCTAAAATCGTATAGTCGAAGAAATACTTTCGTAATTTTCACCTTATTTTACGACACACAATCAACTCCAAAGCGTCTTAAAAACATTTTTACAAAAGATGTCTTAAACCATAAACATAATGAAAAGTATAGGAAAAGGGAATAACAGATTTCAACCCATCAGAAACCGTGCATTCTAATAAACGCAGTTTCTGATAGGTTGAAACTGTTACTCCTAGTTCCTATTGTCGGTACTTTTCATTGTTCAAGACTTTAAGTTTGAGACATAATTGAAAGGAACAGATAGTAGGAACAGGGAACAACAGATTTCAACCTATCAGAAATCATGTATAATGGAATGTACACTTTTATAATTTTCACCTCGTTTCATGATACACAATCAACTCCAAAATGTCTTAAAAACATTTTTGGTAAAGACATCTCAAGCCTGAAACACAATAGAAAATCACAGGCAATAGAAACAGAGAATAAACAGTGTATCAAAACACACGATTTCTGATAAACTGAAATTTGTTATTCCCTGTTCCTACTTCATTGTCTGTGCTTTTTAATTGTGCCTCAGGCTAAGATAAATGTATTAACTAATTAGTAAACAATTAATAGACATGACCCAATTATTGGACGAAATTATGCAAATTTTAAATATTAAGCTTTTAATGACATGTACGACTCTGAATAAATTCGATAAAAATTTGATAAAACGAATTTAGGATTGTGTGCATATAACTTTTATATATACTTATTAAAAGCGTATATTTAAATTTTTCGTCATTTCGTTCAATAATCGGGTTATGTCCACTAACTGGTACATTTATCCTGTATCTTCGAAAATCGAGATGGCATGAAGGTGAACTACTTTTCCTCGTTTCTTCGACGCGAAAGATCACCGCTCGAGTGTTGCTCCGAATTATAAATAACAGCACCGTTGTCGTTATCGTGAGACGAAGAGAAAGGTTTCCGATTGCCGAGCGTCTCTTGAGCACGCGAGCTTTTTTGTAACGGACATTAACGTACATACGGGTAAACGGATACTTACTTCCGGAAAAAAGTATAGTTTATCGCGAGAAATCGCGAAATCATCGAGTAATGAGAACGCCAAATTAGGTGAATGTCAACCACTAATGTATGGCTGTAAGCCGGGCGATTATTCCGGTCGAATTCCTGCGATCGATTGAAGCAGAAGATGTGTACTTGAAAATGACAAAATACTCTTTAAAATATCAATTTTCTAATATTTTTGTTTAAATAGATATTTCTGCACACTGTTGAATCTGTAGTGTCAAATTTAACTTAACGTGAGTCGCCACTACTCCTACTCAATCATATCGTTATTTTATACTAAAACAATGATTATATTTGACACTATATAGTGTTAATTTGATACTATATAGTGTCAAATTGACACGATATGCAGAGTCAACTATCGTTTTGATAAAAAATAATGATATATTTAGTAGGAGCAGTGGCGATAATAACTCATGTTATTAGGTTAAATTTGACACTATAGATTTAACGGTGCATATTTGTGCAATATGTAAAATAATTATTGAATGTGTTTAAATGACTAAAAGAAGAAATGTAATATATAGTTTTCTCGCAATCTGAATAATAAGAAGTGCCCAGATAGCAACGTGTCTATCTTGTTGCTGGCATGTTGCTTGTTAAATATGCATTGCTAAGCATGTGTTGCTATCAGAATTGCAGCAACTGAGTGCTCTTTGTTGGTAACTTGATGCCTTCATGATAACTTTGAGTAGCAACTTGCCAGCAGTTTGCCGACAACTTTAAAATCGTCATCATCAAAATTCGCACTACTGCCATCATAATATGTAGCATCATGCAATGCTTTCATATCACCGATAACACAAGATAATATTGATGCAAATATTTACAATGGTTGCAAATATGTATATACAGTGAATGTAAAATACTCTACAATAAATCTTCTTTTATAAAAATACAAAAATTTATTATAAAATTGGATGATCGCGTTGTTATCAGCTACATAAGTTGATTAAAAATTAATATCAGATGTACCTGATTTTTTAAAACGCCGCTAACATCCATAAAACAAGATGTAAGCTATTATATTTTTGTCTATATTACTCATTTCTCATATATTTTATATTATTGTTACTAAATATTGCCTATATTAACTAATAATATAAAATATTGATAAGGTACGATTTAGGCGACCAGTACGCATTCGGCAACTCTCCCTTAATTATAAATTCAAATTAAAACTCGAAAATATAACTCTGTTATTTAAAATTGATGCAGCTATCTTGCTGTTAAACTGCTGGCAATACATATACATATTGTTGCCTGCATGTTGCTACAATATCGGTATATTCGAAATCGTTGAAAACAAATCTATGGCAAGTTTCCAACATTATAAGCAATCGCAGATTTATATGATTTTGCTGAGACACGCTTTGCTATCTGGGTGGGTGGTCAAGAAATAAGTGATGCCCATATCGGACTACAGATTAAAAATGAATTGGAATTTAATCGATCGAGAAGAAAGAAAACCAGTATCAAGTTAGTGAGCTTTACTTTGATTGGTCAAATTCAAATTCAATCTCAATCCTAGTCTAAACCTTTCAGGCTTAACGAGATTTTTTTTACATTTTTATTTAATTTTTCATCTGATAGCATCGTCTATTTTTACATTTTGAATATAAAAATATAGAAAAAGAAAAGAAAGATAAATTGCAAGGTATGTGAGGTGTAACATCAAATAACATCAAAAATCTTTAATGTAAGTCTATATTAGACTACGTATTGGAGATTGAGAATTGCAAATTGAAGATTAAAATTTGGCTCCTCTAGCCCGATATAATCGAGTAATATTAATAAATAATCTAGTAATTTTAATAAATAATAAATAACACCTCGTGTTATGCTAAACAATAAATTACAACATACAAGTTAAGTAAACGAACAAAATAAGATGATCAATAAAATATAAATTTTATTTACATTAGCAAAAAAAATCGCGGAACGTTTCGCACTTAACAATAATCTTCAGCCATTGTCATAGATCGATATCTGTAAAAGTACGAAGCATTATATATTCAGACGTATATTCTTTTCTAACATCCTATACTATTAAATCTATAGTGTTATATTTATAAACAATAGTTATATTTGACATTATACAGTGTCAAGTTGATACTATATAGTGTGAAATTGACACGATACAATGTCATACATAATTATTGTTTTGGTAAAAAATAACGATATGATTGAGTAAGAGCAGTGGCGACTCGTTAGGTTAAATTTGACACTATAGATTAACAGTGTATAGCGTCACTTTTCTTTATATCTCATACAGATTGTTTTTAATTATATTTAGGCACTATGGACACTCACAACGATTTTAACGTTGTGGACAAATTACAAAAAGATTCTTTTAACTTTACTTTTTTTACTAGTAAACGAAGAATTAGTTCTATTTTTATCATGGACTACAATTGTTACACTGTTAAATCTATAATGTCAAATTTAACCTAACGTGAGTCGCTGCTCCTATTCAATCATATCGTTATTTTATACTAAAACAATGGTTATATTTTACACTATACAGTGTCAAGTTGACACGATATCATTTTGGTAAAAAATAATGATATATTTAGTAGGAGCAGTGGCGACTCATGTTAGGTTAAATTTGACATTATAGATTTAACAGTGTACACCTATCTATTTTTTTTATCGTGGACTGTCTTATCATTTGGACTTTTTGAGGAAAGCGTTATATACTCTATTATTATATACATATTTCTATGTCTACATTGTATAATGTGGCTTCTTACTGTTCCAGTTACATAGCGTATATTTTATTCATTATTTTTCCATTATGGCTCAATAATTTATCAATAACTTAATTTAATAATTTAAGATTTATGGCTGAAGATGATTTTCATTAAGTACAAAACTCAGCGAAGTTCCACAATTTTTTCTGACTATGTAAATAAAATTTGTTTTATTATAGGTCACTTTATTTTGTTCGTTTAATTGACGTGTACGTTATAATTTATTGCTTAATTTTAATTGGTTATTTAAAATTCTAATCTCCAATTCGCAATCCTCAACCTTCAATGCGTAGATATTGATTGTTAGCAGAATTTTACTGATCTCTAGATTAGTCTCTAGATATATAGAGTGTTTCGAAATCCGAATATTATTGTGAAATTTCGTGAAAAAGTAAGTAATAAAAGTGTAAGCCATTTTTTTCATAAAATAGGTTTTTAAATAAAAACATTTAAAATATAAACGTTGGTTAAAAAGTTATCTGTTCGTGTGATGGTGTGCGTACAGCGGCAATGTTTTGTTTAGTATCTAATACTATTACACGCACGTCACATAGATAGATAATCAATGCTTATTAGTCTAACTCTAAACGTTTATACTTAAAAAACTACTTTATGGAAAAAAATGGTTTACACTTTTATTATTTAACTTTTTTACGCTGAAGTTCCACGCTGCATTATCCTCGAATTTCAGAACACCCTGTATAATGTCGGGATAAAACGAATACTTCAAAATTGTGCTTAAATTGCTTAATTGTGCTTAATTGTGTATTAAAATAATTAACTTTAATTTATTTAAAATTTTTCTCAATGAACATTCTTTTAAATTCATGATAGGTGCGTCTTGAATGAAAATTGGTCGATGACTAGAAAAAAAAGTTATCGTTAGAGTTAATAACCTTGGACGAAATTACACATCTGCGTGTCAACGATTATATTCGACGCGCTACTTTGCGCACTGTGATACACTTCGTGTTCTTTTCACACAGTCTCGATTTTTGCTTCTTTTATTCGACAACCTTGATTAATTAATTCCGCGTAATTGCCGAATCATCGTTCCTTCCTGAATTAGTATAATTGTCGTTATAGTATAATTGGTCGTTATGGCATAATTGATCGTAAAGATGAATTACTAGTTGGACGATTCGCTATCCTTGGGAGATCGTATTGATTGTCTAACGAAATAAATTAACTTCAATTAAATAATCTTCAATTTTAGTTTCGTGTCGTAAACAATGTTTGCTATGATATTCCTAGTGGGAAAAAAGCGGTCCCGTCGAAAAGCGACGATAAATGACGTAAAAAAACACGATATTTTTTTATTACTTCCTTTATCAGGTTTACAAATTAACATATATGAATCTAACATGTGTTTACATCACATATATGAATATTATCTTTCTGCGATAATTTACGTCAGTTTAACAATGTAAATATCGTGATATTGTGTAGAATAAGGATAATACAATCACAGCGGAAAACACATATTAGATAATTATAAATTGCATTAAAAATTTTAAATAAAATAAAACACTAAAGGATTTCCCAGTCATTCACCGATAGATGAATACATGATGCATGTAATTCTTGTCGTATATTTTTTTAAGTTGAGACGTTTGACGGTATTCTATTTGTAAGCTATCTGTACAAGTATTTCCAAATATTGGTTCGCGATAAAAATGGTAAGCGATTTGTCAAAATTTATATAACATTATTTAGGAGATGCCTTATATATGTACGTTCATATATTCCACTTTATTTCTTGACCATCTCAACTATGCAGAAGTCTGATATACATATACTTTTATATTGATAATACTGGTGTTAATAATTCGTTTGTAAACCGTTTGTAAACGATATGCTCTACTCTATTAGAGTATCGTTTACAAACGGTTTTTATGTAAATATTCTTATTTATAAGTATGTTAAATTATTCTCATTTTTTTTGTCTCTTATATAATAGTAAGAGGGTACATTTAACTTTTCAAGTTGCACCACTTCTTATCGTAAAACTTACCGTAACATTAAGTTTGCATTGTTATATAACGAATGATAAATAATATTACAGATATGTATACATGTAACAAACGCGCGTATTTTGTTTATTTTCTAAAGTTTCTTATTGAAGTAGTTTAACATAAATCGTATTACATTCGTCAATAAACGAATGTTGATGCAGAACGTATCGAATAGAATACTATTAAATTCCACTTGTTTGCACTATTTCAATCGTATTATCTTTACTCTTGCACGTAGCGACTTTATAAACTTTATAACCTTGTGTATCTTGAGTGATTGCACAAAATAGCCTTGTTTCAATAGCTTTGTTTGAATCGAGAAGTGATTCGTGTTTTCGCACAAGTCCTTCAATAATATTTAAAATATGACAATGAGTCAGAGACGTGCCAGTTTAAATATTAAACTATCAGCGTCACTGTTTTTTTTGGAAATGATACATAATATAGAATTGTTTTGATAGTACAAAATAGGACAAATTCAATCGTATTGATTTCTGATATTATTTTTCTTTTATTTTGAATTGGTCCTACCAGCTTAATATTAAACCAACATCACCACGATTTTTTTCGAGATGGCACATGGTGCAAAATTATCATTAATAGTAATTTAGTACAAAATGAGTATACTAAAAATTCCGATAAGTCCGATTTGATTCTGGTGATTTGACCTGCAAGCTTTATAGAGCTGAAATGTGACATTTCTAATTTGCGAATATCCAGAAACTACGCGATATATGAAATCTCTCAATTGATTTTTCTAAACGTGAAAGATCTCTACTGCGAAACAAAGCTTTGATTTAATATTATTAAATTAATTGCTTATAAAAATTATATTAAACATAAATAGTTTATAGAGTTTGACGAAGATCTTTTGAAAAGAATAAGTAATCAAATGTTTATCAAACTTTTGCAACACTGTAAGCGAAATAACAAACGAACACTATCTTATATTAAATTTCGAACTTTTAGCTCAAGCTGCTAATTAAATTGCTGTTTGAACAAGCTAAATTTGCACTTTCAAGATTCGACAAGCTTTGAAACTTTTACTTTCTTCAGCAAATAATTCGTAATTAAATAAAACCATAGTACAGACATATCGACATTTTACCATCGTGTACAAAAGCATGCGAGATCACCCTGTATTTTAATTCCATTATGTGTAAAGCTGCTTCAAGCATATTGTTCCGTTAGCCTTGATATGTAATTTCGTGATTATATCATTAATGGTTGTCCACGGATTAAGTGCATAAGCGAGTATCGTTCTAGAATTCACGCCCTTGAATCGGTCTGCTTAGGAATATTTATGTAATTTTCCGGCAGCGAAATTTCGCCACTTATCTATTATTATTTATTGCCAATGTACGGTCACATACGTTAAGTCATCAGTTGTTTGCCGCGAGTACGTGAAATACGCAATCGAGCATAACAAAGCACGATTTTGAAATATTTCTTTTTTGCGATATTATATTTAGAGACCAATGTTCAGTAAAATTCTGCTAACAATGAATTGTTTTAGTACGAAATTTTACTTGTCCGTAAATTCGCGCGCGTAGATAACATTAATTTACGAAGAATAAATTTCGATATCGTTTTTTAATTATTTTTTTAACAATTTTAACATAACAAATGTGATTTTAAAATGACTCATTAAAAAATAACAAGGAAATAATACCGTACTTTCGTTAAATGTATTCCTTTAATCCTCATTTTTCTCTCCCTCTTTTTCATTTATAATTGCATATGAAAAGAATTACTTTTTATTTTATCCTTGTAAACTATTTTACTTAGATATTATAATTCAACGTTTGAAAATAAATTCATTTAACAATTTAAAACGTTATTTTAATGAGTTTGTGGAAAACAATGTGAAAAACATGAGAAATTATTTGTAACAGAATAGTCATATCAAAAAGGAAGCCAATAACGCGATAAGTTGTAAGCGAATGTACTCGTACGATATTGCAAGACAGTCTTCACACAGTAACATTTTCCAAGGCAGAATAATGATTCATATTTGCATTCGATCAGTATGCACGTCATAATAAATTTCTGACACGCAATTGTCATACATAATAATATTATGAAATCCATAATATGAAAATAATTTCTATTGTTTGCTTGTACTTTCAAATGCGCATTTACAATTTTCAAATTACAAAATTAAACCGATTATTCTTGTGTATTATTTTATTTTTGGCCTTCTTTACGCCGTTGAATACACTGTGAATCATAGCGGGTTATAAAATCATTATTTTCTCCGTGAGACTTTATTTAACGAGTTTGACGTATGACCATATATGAACGAATAATTTTGTGAAGGAAAATAATTTTTAATGTTAATCACATTTTAATTATTACGCTTATTGTTAAATATTTTAATTGAATCCTGACTAATCAAAATATATGATACAGGAAGGTATATTTTTATTTTTGTTAGTGATTAATGTATCTTATGAATATGTATGCAATGGACGATCAAACACATTAAAATAATTAAAATTGTAAATGTATATACTTTTTTTCTTGGCAGGTGAATGTCAATTGAAGAATAAACACGAGTCAGAATGCAAACTCGACAGATCCTAGGCGTATGCCATCGTTTGATAGAATTAATTGTGAGAGGAATATCACTATTAGTTGCTTTTGTCAGAGGACCGGCGCAATCTCAACCACCCATCAAAGATTTAACTCTCTTGCACAGCACAACCACTTTAGCGTTAAAAATTCGAAATAGACAAGTAAGTTTTTGTTGCCTCACACTTTTTGGATTTCCTCAGTGTTTAATAAATTTTGACAACTTGTTTTTGAAAAGCTTCTACCAGTTGTCTGTTCGTTGATCTTTTTAAATCTAATAAAAAAGTTTTATTTTTGAATTAATTATATGACTAATAGTATTGCGATGCTTATCTTAAACATGATAAATAAAAATAACTCGCCTGTATTTTTTCTATTTTTCCATTAATGTCATTAATTGTTTAATGATATATAAAAGAACTCTGGATTTGCATCGTTAATAAATACCATAATTAATAACATGACCAGGATAAGCCTTATTAACTACCTAAATGACACACTTCTGCCCATGTTAGCTAATTATTAGTCGGTCATGTAACTACTTATTATTCACAGTTAACTTCCGAAGATGTGGTATCTTCGTATATAGAAAGAATAAAAGAGATTCAACCGATACTCAACTGTGTAGTCGCAGAATGCTTTGAAGAAGCTCTTAAAGAAGCAAGAAAATGCGACGAACTGTTAAAATCTCAGGATGCTCCGTCCGTGGAGTTTCTGGCCAAAGAAAAACCATTATTTGGCATACCTTTCACCACCAAGGTAACTTTTGATTTTTATTTGTTTCACAACTTAATTTCATTAAAAGAGTCGATAGTTCAAACAATTAAGTTTTTACTTTTTATTATCTATAATTATGTGACTATAATTTAAGGATATCATTTGTATTATTGCATTGCAGGACTGTATTGCAGTCAAAAACATGCAGCAAACGGCCGGTCTAGTTATACGTAAAAACACTATCGTTGATAGAGATGCAGACGTGATAAGATTAATAAGATCAGCTGGAGCCATACCTCTGGCACTGACAAATATTTCAGAACTGGCAATGTGGTGGGAAAGCAGTAATTGTCTATTTGGTATCACTAAGAATCCGTATAATACAAGGTACGATACGATACATCACCATGGTATAGTATAATATTATCTCCAATTATTTCACAATATTTATTGAACACATAATTGTTTATCGAAACTTTATCGAAAAAATTATTCAAGAGATGAAATAAATTTTGCTTTACAATGTACAACTAAATCATAAAAAATATTGGTAAAATATAATTATTGAATTTGTTTTAATATTCAATATATGTATTATAAATATTATAAATTTATGTATTATAATATAAATATGCCAATGTGTGTATATTAGGCAGCAGTTACGAAATTTCCTCATAACTTTATTATAACTTGAATTTAAATGTACTACAGAAATCACAAGATTTAATTCTACAAGAATTTTTTATTTCATTGTTATTTATTTTCAGACATATTGTGGGCGGTTCTTCGGGCGGTGAAGGCTGTATACAAGCAGCAGCTGGATCACCATTTGGAATTGGTTCGGATATTGGTGGCTCTATTCGTATGCCGGCATTCTTCAATGGAATTTTTGGTCATAAGCCAACTAAGGGTGAGGAAGATTGAAAATTTGGATAATTTAAATATTTCTTGTTATCAACGTGAAAATATAATATTTTTATTATATTATAGGAATTGTTTCGAATGATGGTCAATATCCTAGTGCACATAGTGATGATCAAGATCAATTACTCGCCATTGGACCAATGTGTAGATTTGCACAAGATTTAACATTAATTCTTAAAATTATCACAGATAAAAATGCCGATTTATTGAAGTTAAATCAGAAAGTGGATATTTCGAAAATCAAGGTAAGTTACAGTTTAAAATTGAAATAAAATTAATTATTTTTTTCTTAAATTTAATTTTTTTTTTTCTTGAATTTAATCTTATTTTATATATGCATGCTTTTGCAGCAAAATATCAAGGTTAATAATTTATCGTATAATAACCAGGAAATCATATTTCTATGTAACTTTAGCTCTATTATATGGAAGACGATGGTGGTCAGTATCTGATTTCGCCAGTGGATCCAGAGATAAAAACCGCTATGAAAAGAGTGATAAATTATTTCGAAAAAGCGCACAAAGTTAAAGCCACAAAAGTAAACGTAAAGAAGCTTAAAAAAGGCATAGCCCTCTGGTTGGCAAACATGGCATGCAAGAATGAGGAAGATTTTTCATACGAGCTAACCAATAGAAAATATCAACTTAATATCTGGTTGGAAATTATTAAATGGATGTTATTTATGAGCAATCACACTTTGGTTGCTCTTGTCACTGCCATATTCGAAAAATGCGGCGTAAAACATGGAAGTGAGAAACATGTTCGACTTATGCAACAGAGTAAAGATCTTTATCAGGAATTTAAGGTACTGTTGCATTATTTTTTTGTTGTATGATTTTTATATCAAACATATGCTTCAAATATCACTATTGCTGTAAAATTTTTCTGTATATAAAAATATACATGATGTTTTATACTCATTATATTTTTTTAGGATATTTTAGGGGAAGACGGTGTATTTTTGTATCCAACACATCCAACTGCAGCTCCAATGCACCATGAACCGTTGTGTAAGCCGTTCAACTTTTCTTATACTGCAATCATTAATGTATTAGGCCTACCGGCTACGGCTTGTCCATTAGGTTTAAATAAACAAGGACTTCCTATTGGAATACAGGTATGTATTGGTATATTTTTGTGTAAAATTAAAAGGTAGTGTCTCACTTGTATTTTAAGTAATATAGTTTTAATCATATAGGTCATAGCAGGACTTTATCAGGATCATTTATCTCTCGCTGTTGCGGAAGAATTGGAACGAGGTTTTGGAGGATGGGTACCACCAGCAATAGTAGCCTGATGTCAATACTGTCATAGACAATAATTCTATGAATGAACGATGTACACATAAAAGCCTCATCTTACCGACCCTGCCATCTTTCTCTTGCGTAATATTATATTTATATCAAGATTTTCATCTATGTAAACATTATTTAGGTAAAGTACAAATTATACGAATACAAATATGTATATGATGAATATGTATATACGAGTATATATACTCAACATGCATTTAATATGAAATTTCTTACAATGTTTGATATTCCGTAAGTTTCGTGATGAAGTAAATTTATATGGTACGATTATGTTATAACTTTGCATTTATGAAATTCCAAGGTAACATTTATATTATATAACATCTAAATAGGAAAGTGTATATGAATCTTCTGACCAATTGTTTATTGGAACTCCTTGAAATAATAACGATCGATGTTGCGATATTACAGCCAATTATATTAACAATATTAATTCAACATAAAATAAAAATATCGCTACGTGCATATACGCGTTCTTGCATGAGAAGAACAGAAATCTTAGTTTTCAAAACGAGACATTAAATGTTTGTATAAACATTTAAAAAAACAGAGAAGATAGTTCTAAATACGAATATTTTCAATTTTATGTTGAATTGCAGTATTTATATACCTCAGACTTCTATATATAGAATTTTCTATTTTCATACGTGATGTATGTAAAATCAAATGGTAGCAGGGTGCTTTTGGTAACATGTGATAAGACATTCTATATTATTTAAGACGTGTATTGATGTTGAAAATTTATACATATATATATTTTATCTACCGAAATAAATTTTTATTATATTATTTCATCACAATTAGATCTTCCTCATATCCATTATTCTTTTTTCAGCATTACTGTGACATGCTGTGAATAACAAAAATATTTTATTAATATGGATAACGTAAGATAATTTTATAGTTTAATTAAGTACTACTCTTTTACGGTAATCAGTATAATATAAAAGAAAGAAGTGCGGAATGTAAGAGTTGTCGCGTTTAAAATATAATTTTAACTTAAATATATATTATTATATCACATCGTGTCAAAATTATTGTACATTTAGATGCAGTGCATAATAAATTACATCTTAGAGTTCTACAAATTTCAAATTTTCTGATTTATCTTCGTAATAAATAACTTATTACATATATGTATAAAATGTAGCATGCAAAAAAATTGATCTATGAGACAAATAATTACTGGAAGAACAAGTATCAGTACACGTTCAATATACAGCGTTTGAGCTTGTAAGCTGAAAAAAAATGTATTTCGTAGATGCTGTTTAAAGTGTCTATATATGTACGTTATTTTAAAAAATATAGATTGTATTGAAAATATTTATTTTGCTACTAGCAAAGAAGTATGATCTCAATAAGACTGCACTATTTGTAATGTATGATATTCATATATTTCACGAAATGTCTCAAGCTCATTCATTCTTCAGTTCTTATAACTACAGTTAAAAAGATATTTTACCAATCGTCACAAATTTCAAAACGTACCCGATTTCTGTTAAATACGTAAGAATGATCATAAAATAGCATGAACAGCCCTTATCTTTCTTTTACAGTCTCTTTAATATTAATTAGATTGTTTTAGGGAGAGCTGCCTATGTATAATTTGTAAAACAGGTACCATAGTTTCAACAATTGTCATAATTAAGTTAAACATGCCTAATGCAAGGATCATAACACCATAAAATTTATCGTATATTTTTGTAAACTTTAATACAAATTTAATATTTTTGCACGTTTCATAAGTACAGTTCAAGGATAAAAATTATTGAACGTTCGACGACTTTTCAGTGCGCTTGTAATATTCACTTTTACTAATGGTATTTAAAGGTCAATATAAAAATTTCACCTCCTGATTTTACACATTCCAAGAAAGCGGAAATCCATAACCAGAGAAGCACCGAGCCAAATTATATCTAAAAAATAGTCTACAAGAGAATTTGTTGGGATCATAAAATTACGATATCTCGAGACTGTGCGAGCCGTTATTTAAAGATTCGCGTCACCTATAAAAAATTCATTTAGCAGGAAAAAACAGATTTCTATCAGTAAGTATTACAAATACTTAGATCTATGGAGATCGATTACGTTATGAGATTCGTTTTCTCCGATGGTGTTTCGCTGTTGCCGGTGGTAATGAGAGCCCTTTCTTCTAATCTATTGTCCAACGAGTTGTCCTTACTCTCGTTGCACGACCTGCTGGAAATCATCTCAAACTCGTTCAAGTTGATATCCGCGTCAAAAAACGCCAAGTCAATGGTATTGGATTGATCCGTTCTATCTTCAGAATGACGCGTCTCGTTTATATTTCCGTTACTGATTCGTTCATGTAATTGTTCCTTAACTCTGTCCTCGTAATTTTTTGCTGATCCCGTCGCCTCTTTCTGTTTGTTCGATCGCTTATTTATTACATTTAGCTCTACATCCATTTGTAGCGCTTTCCCAGAAGAGAGTTTTGTGGAATTGTCGGAGTTGTTCAAGAATGTTTTATCCGCGTTCATTGGAACGTTCAAGCCATCGCTCCTTTGATGGTTTCCGTTTGCGGTTTCCGATCCGTCTCGAAGGTTGGCCGGTTCTTGCACGTCAACATGATGGTCTTTTCCCTTTTTAGCGGCGGCAGCGGCGAGCTCGGCCTCTTTCATCGCCGAGTGGATGACCGGCTCGGCCCATAATCCCGGGTTGAAGGCTGGCCCCGTTCCACCGAGCTCCGCCGGCAGGATGTCCGTTGGCAGGTGTTCGTGAAGCGTGCTGAGATTGTTGCCGTGCAGATAAATCTGCGAGGAGAAAAACGATAACATCTTTTTGCGTTCGAGGGGCGGTTATCAGTAATGAATCTAAATAATAATTTGTAGCCATTTATGCATATTCTCGAATCTACCAATCTACCAAGAAATCCAGCATACTGTATGTTTTTCTTGCAGATTACGTCGTAAGCAAGCAACGGAAATCGATTTATGCGTCGAACAGTATCTGCTAGGTACGATAAAAACTGGATAGCAAATGATCAGAAATAAATTACCGAGTCTAGTTGATCTACTTGCACGCAGATGTAATAATAAATTTTTGTTACGATAAATGTCAAATAAAAATTTTACAGTTATCTTCCGTTGCGTACATTGAACTATTGAAGCATGATTATAATTATGTGAATACTTGTCCTCAACTCCTCACTCAAGCGTCAATTGACATATTTTACTTAGGTTTATATTCATAGTCGAGTTCTACATTTTTAAGAATGTTTTAAGTATAGTCTTAATATGTCATGAACCAATCAAAAAGCCATATTAGCATCTTAAGACGGTTGCTTAAAACTTTTGAAATAAGAACGGATTATGAATACCCGCCTATGAATATCGGCCTTAGAACTCACCTTATTCCGTGTCTTCTCATCCAGAAATGGCTTCACCAGGGCCAGAGTTGCCTGAACGTAGAGCGGCGCCGAGAGGAAGTGTATCGCCTTGAATCGGGCGGGAAATCGCCCACGTAGAGCAGCTATTAGGTTTCGCAGAGCCGCTGCCCCCAATGCACCGCCCTGCCGTAACGAGAATCCGCTCCAGTCTACCACGGCGACGAAACCGGATTGCTAAAAAAAAGGAGCCGTAGGTCATCGTTAGGCGTTCAGGCGGCGTGTAATAATGCCAGCGTAGAAATGGACGCCGAGTCTAGACTGGTCGTCGAGATTTAGCTGAATGAAATAGTATTAACTGCCGTCGACGGAATTCAAAATACCTCGTTATAAGTACATTATAGTCGAATTACGAACTTCGACGTCTACATTTTTATATTAACTCTGAACTTATATAAATTTTTATATCATAATATTTTATATATTTTATAATATTGAATTTATTATTTTTTATTCGTAATTACTATTTTTGTATTTTATAATATTGAATTTATTAATATATGAACTTCTGGTTTTATGTTTTCATGGTTTAGTTCTGTCAAAATAGGGAAGATACATCGGTAGCTTTCAAAATTAAGCTCTTAAAAAATTCGTTGCTTTTTAAAAACATAACAAAAGCAGTCATTTTATAATAATATGATAATAGTCGATTTCGTGGAATGAGCGATCGACTGATAAATGATGAACGTGATTTATACCTGATTTCGAGGATCTTGAATAAGTGTTTCCAGAACTAAGAATATCGCTCGTTGAACGGACAATGCGGGCACGGCTACAGGATCCCATTGCGATGCCAAAATAACCAGTACGCATCTACCTTTCCTATATTGATTTATGATAAAACAAAATATAATGAAATTATAAGATAATTGACTAATAAGTATTACACATATTCTATAATAAGCCATTAGTAATAAATCAGAAATTTGTAACTACAAATTGACCAATCATAGTCAATTCTTCTCACACTCAACTGTGATTGGTCAATTTCTAGCTTCTGAGTTCTGATTTATTACCAATGGCTTATTGTAGAATAGCCATTACAAATCAATTTTTGTTTTATTTACATTATTAAAACAATTAAGAAAAAGATAAGATTTTTTCTCTTTTAAATAGCTTAGATTACCAAAAGCATTTAAATATCAAATAGCTCGATCACGAGTACATTTTTATTCTTGTATAAAAAAAATATATACCGTGTTAATATTTATGCGCAGGACGAATGCATTTTCCGGCACGTACGCGACGTGTACCGATAGCGACGGAAAGGATAAGCATAAATTAGCAGGGCGTTCATCAGAAACCCACTGGCTGTAAAAGCCTAAGGAACATACCAAGTCCAGAGAAAGTCAAAATGACTTCGTTATGAAAATTTACAAAATTTTCAAAATGTTTGCAAAAATTATAAAATTTGACTGTTTATTGACGTCGAGAATCAAAATAAAGTCATCAAAATTTTTTGTTGACTTTTGTGTGTTCCTTGGGAGATTATTATTCGTACCTGTCACGCGCAGGTAGGACACCCGGTATACCTGCGCGAAGCGCACGCTGCAATGCCGGGTCCCGGGCGGTAAGATTGCCGAAGATATCCTGGCGATGTGTTATTTGCGCCTGATAAGCGGCTATCAGGGCCGCTGCCTGCTCGGTGCGGTACTTCCGGGCTAGCAGGAAGCGCGTGATATACTCATCCGTGCAATGTTCCAGGTCTGAAAATAACAAACGCGGAGGCCGATCATTATAATGCTACTCATGAAATGCCGTGCGCGACCGGAAGCAATTCGAATAAGAATATTCCCCGGAAGTGTGTACGCAACATGGACTGAACATATTAATATTTGTCCTTAATCATCGATGACGTATATCTTTCACGTTTTTGCAATTAAATAAAAGATCACTTTTATTCAGGTAATTGTAAAAAATAGCTATTGATCTTCACTTGATTGGAAAATGGAATAGTCAGATTATTATCTTATTTTGAGTTCTTTGTCACTGTATTGAGCACTAAAATTTTTTTTCTCGTTTTCGAAATATTAAAAACTTTAAATATTATCTATTTTATTTTAAATACAATAACGAGTATACACTCCCCATATAGCAATTCCCCCAAGAGATGTCTGTGCTGTATGGGGAATCAATGTACACTCGTCCTGAAGACATCCAGAGAATGTCTCTATGCTCTCTGAACGTCTTAAGGACGTTCCCAGGATGTCTCATGGATAAAGTGTGCTGTATGGATTGTGTACATTAGTGTATAGTTTAGTCATAGAAAGAACAGACCTAATATTATCTCTCATAAAAGGCACCCAGAACACTCTTCGTGTATCGGTACTCCGATACACATGTGATAAATTAATTTCAATTTTATTTGGTGCAATTCTTACCTACATCCGGCATTTGTCGAAGTATAGATCTGACAGTCTTAATGGCTAGTTTCTTATCACGTTTATCGAATCTGCCTCCCTCTTCATAAATGCTACGCACCAAGCTGCTACGACCTCGGGCGGGATCGCACCACATATATTCGCAGTACTCGGACATTTTGTTTTCCTTTTCGGATGCGCGTCAATAATCTGAAACATTACAACAAATAAAACATTTTTTCGTCACATAAATTTTTGTTTGTTTTAAAATATGAAATTTTCCTAATATTGAATTTTGATATTTTCGAAGCATTCAGTTTGAGATCTGATGAGAAATCTGACGTTGAGAATTCGTAAATGAAAGACTTATGTCTGCGATATAAATATAAATGCGTATGGTAATTTTATTTGAGTCGAGTTTAAATAACAAAATTAATTCAAAGTGAAAACGAGATCAATCGCCAAAAAAATGAAAAAAAAAAACGAAGTTTATTTCTCCTGAGAAAAATCTTGAAATATTGCGAAACAAATGTTACGACATTTTCATCGATATTTATTAGCTATGACAAAAACATTTCTGTGAAATATATCTCGTCAAATGTAAAAAAGTAAACTATTATAGATTGCTTGTTTGCTAGGAACAAAATTTTATTGCGCAATTTAAATAAATATTTATTTCAGTGAAATAAATATATTTCTTACAAATAAATTTTTAAGTAACTTTATCTCATTGCCAGTGTGGGAAAAAAAAATACACGCAGAAACATTTATCACGCAAAAGACAAGTCATCATGACATTAAAATAACATCAAAATGACTTCAAAATGATCCACTAAAAGTAACTTTTCAATCAGTTACGATTCATTCAACGTTATTGTGATTTGTTATTCTGGAGCACTGAGTAGGTGATATTCGGTTTTTATTTCCAACTCATTAGTTATCAAATATACATGATATATTTCTAGTTTAATTTTTTATTATTAACGAAGCGGACAACGAATATACAAGCAACACATGAGGAGAATCGTGTCCGTTGGCAAAAGCGCGATGCGCTCTGAATCATACGCGGCGTGTCGCGTTCAAGCACGACTGCACATTGCACCGGGCAACAAAGAGAATGTGTGTAACGTCCGATGAGTGATTCGCAAAGTGTAGTTATATGTTTATGTATAGACTATATATAGTTATATACCGCTTCCATTGGATAAATAATGTGAAATTCATCTAACAGACAGTTTTTTTGTTCAAAAAGCAATAATTCGCGATCGCACTTCTCCATGTTGGAAAATGACGCGATTTGTGCTCGTTAGCTGGAAGATAAGTTGAATCCGAACATCTAGGTGAAGGTGAGAATAACGTAGAATAAAGGTCGAGATAAGACTCGACTCGAAAGATTTCATTTCGCATTTCGCTTTTTCCTCGCCTTAATTATAGTATTGTGCAGCGTATTGCCCCAAGGATGACTCACAGAAAATCATCCTTATATGAAGAGCGAGCGTTCTTTCAACCGGTTCGGATAATTATTTCGCGAAAGTTTCACACGACCTTGCAGCGGGCAATCGATCGATTTGCGATCCCTTACGCTTTCCAAGCGGCTAGCACGTCGAGACGCAATCGAATCATTTTGGAACACACTGAGCAAAAATTAGATCATTGTCGATCACATAGCACGAAATTTTGCCGAGATGACATTCGATTCAGAAAACGAAGCTGACAAGGAAATAAGTTACATTGTAAAAGTGATGTTGGTCTACTTGACCATCAAGACTCTGGACCCAAAATTTAAATAGCTCATCTAATGACTCTCTTCAATCCCTACAATTTTTATTTAAAACGTTTTTTTTTTTCAAAATGTATTGTTCTCGAGATATTTTGTGTTTAAGTTAAAATGATCAAACAAGTTCCAACCCAAGTCAGGTACAGAATCTATAGAATCTTAAGATTTGACCATTTAAAATATTTATTTCGAACGTGACTTTTCGACTAGTAACATTAATTTTTTTTATATTATTTAGCACATTCCCTTATAAGGGATATTTCATATTCCTTCGAGAGGATCAGAGAAGATTTGATTCTCAGTTTAAAATAAATTGTACGATTTTAATTAGTTGCGTTCAACAGGGTCTTTGAAATTGTTGTAAAATTCTTTAATATGATCGATTTTACTTGTTTCTCACTGGAGCTAAATACATAAATCGATCATATATAAAAAATCTTACAACAATGCAAAGCTTTTTTCTGCTCAATGCAACCATTGTAATTAACGCTAACGAGATAGTGCGGTAAATGAACAGATGTGAGCCAAGATAAACTGCGAATGTTGATGAATGAAACTGAGGACGACCGATATCTTGACCGACAAGTCGGAGCCGGTTTCAGAAACGGTACTTAAACGTCTCGTAAGTTAATAAAGAACATAAATCACATATATCAAAATTGTTACCTGCATATCTTACAGCCTTCCTGTCGATCTCGAATCGAATCTCGAATCCTTGATTATATATGAGACATTATTAAAATGATATATTCCATAAAAAACCGAACTATTTCGATAAATAATGTTAATTATTTTCGATTAAAAGTAGACTTACTCGAGAAGATAAATAGAAATTCAATGAAAAATAGAACAACGTGTCTAATTTATACCATTACGTCAGACATGTCTGTCTCTCCGGTAAAGTTTACCGAACCGTTAATTACTGCCTCAGCAACACGGTAAAAGCTGCGCACTGGCGTGCAAATTGAAAGCGACGAAGGAACAAGAAAAACAGACGTAATTATAGCAGCCCCGAAGAGTTAATTAATCTGACACCAAAATTTGTAACACAATTATTGATGCTAACAATCTATAAGATTCATTTAATAAATTAAATAATTAATTAAAAGATACCAATTAATATCAAGGAAAATGACATAAAAAGTGAATGCTAAGTATCTATATTTTAAGAATAATCTAAATTTGCAGATGTATAATAAAGAAAATTAAATTGTTTGACATGAGTAGAATAGACTCACCAGTCAGCTCTGGAGAGTTAAGAAAGATTACGTAAGGACGCAAACAATGAAACTTCAACGAAAGCGAGAAAAATCGAAGTAGAAGATGAAAGAAAAGAGGATACACCGTACTTACAGTATAAGAGAGACTATTACGTATAAATCTCTTAAGGAAAAGAGACTCCTGATTCTCTTTGCGCTCCTAATCGGGAAACGTCGTGATGGTGAACACGAGGACAAAATTGGCGACGCACCTGCGCGACCGAGAGAACTGTGCGCGCAATGAAGAGTTACTTGGACTCGCGGCGGCCGGCGCCGATTCGTTCGAAAGTGTCAGAGCGTTGAGAAACATGAGATGGAGAGCGAGGGGTAATAACCACAACGGGATTATACGGTGCGAGAGAACAAAAAAGGAACGGGACGGAAAGAG